TTATAAGGGATAAAGCAATTTTTAGTCTCTTATAATGGGGGTTCTATCAATTTGGTCCCTCCATTTTAGTTTATATCATTTCAGTCCTTATCTTTTACTTTAATTATTAAGTTACTCTTTTAAGTTTTGTAAGATAAAATAGCCCTTAAAAAAAGTTGACATGGAAATTGATTCCTGACGTGGAATATAAATGTGAATTAAATAAAACACATCAGCTAAAAAGAAATCTACAGTAGTGATGACAATATAATAAATTAATAAAATAAATAACAGTTAAGTAATGATGATTAATCGGAGTTGGTTGATATGTTTTATTTAATTCACGTGTATATTTCACATTAATAATCTAATTTTCACATTAGTTTTTTTAAGGACTATTTTTTTCTAACAAAACTTAAAGGAGTAACTCGATAACTAAAGCAGATAACTAAAGCAAATATTAAGGATTGAAATGACAGAAATTTAAGGTTAGAGACCAAATCAATAGAACCCCGAAATATAAAGGACTAAAAGTTATTTTATCCTTTTATTTTAAGATTATAACTAACATTCTTTAATAGGGTGAAGTTGATTAACTTTATCTTACATGAAGAATAAGATAAGTGACCAATAAAAATTAATCCAGTTGGTGAGGATTTGGCTTATAACTTGCAATGTTGTGAGTTTAAATCTCATTGCAGATGTGAGAACTTATTTGGTGGGTAAAACGTAAGTACATATGTAATTGCTTTTTGAGCTTGAAGACTTGCCTTAATCTTCGTGAACTCCTAAGACTCAACTTACCTAAACTATTAATTTTTTTTTTAAAAAGGGATAGGAGGAGTAACTAAATACTGTAGTGAACGTGATTCACAACACGCGCAGCCTCTTTTCAGGCTTTTATGTTTCCGTTGTTTGTGGTCCATAATCAATGGACGGCTCATTCTGTGGTTAGTCTTTGCGGCACAAAATCATCCGTTAATATCGTTAATCTTTTACATATTCAAGTGGTTAGTCTTATATCTCACGACATCATTTTCTCCTTTTTGAACTCACTTATCGACAAAACTTACCTTATCTTTGATTGTCTTCGTCCATTCGTTTGAATAATGATTTCCAGACCAGATTCCCTGTTCTCCCCATGTGCGCGCATTCGTCGGGATTTGGGGGTATTTCTTTGTTCCTTTTCTAAAAAATTTCGATATTATCACCATTCAAGTATTTTTTTTTTTTTTTAATACACTGATACATTAGTTTCTCTGCAAGTGGTTTTGCCAACGATTTCTCTTAAGTTTCAAGGAAATCAATACGTTAATTCAATCAATAATTTTTCTTATTGCTATGTGATAATTCTATTTAAAGTACAGTAAAATTTTTAACATGGATTTAAACATTGATTTATCATGTTACAAAGGATTAATCTTTCACACTAAATCCAACCACATTAGTAATTCAATCGTTAACTTAGTTGCATGTATTCAATATTTATACTTTTAATATTTAGGATATAATATATATATATATATATAAGTAAAATTATATTTGTTTAATCACATGTTCAAAATATTTTAATGTATTTTGTGTGTGTGTGTGATATTTTTAATCCTTTTTAATTATTATTAACAAGTAATTAACAATGCAGCTCAGAACATGATTTGTTTAAATACAAGGATTATATTGATGATTATCAATAATCAAGTAAAACTCCTGTTGAGAGAGTTGAAAACAAGGGAGATCAAACCAAAAGATCTATATTTTGAACCAGAAAATACACTAAATTATGTTATTCTAGTTTTAGTTATAATCATTTTTATGATGCTAGAAGAACGTAAGCAAAGTTCCGAGTAGATTGACTTTTAAGTGATCTTAAAAATAAATAAATAAATCAACTCGAATTAAGAAACTTATACGCCTCATCTTCAAATGAATCCTCATTTTAGGGATGCTTAATTTAAGGGGAGAAATTAAATAAATCAACTTTAAATACATCCGCTGACATTGAATTCACATTTTTTATATCTAAAATTTATCTTAATGATGCAAAATTATTAGTCTCGTGAAAATTTTGAACCCAGAAGTCATGAGGATGCATGTGAAGTGTTGGGTCCATCACAATATTGCACTTGTCAACGGTAGATTATATATGCTAATTAAATCGTATTCTCTATATATACGAATGTGAAAGGCGTGATAATGATATCCCTCAGTCATTCATCAATTGTTCAATGCTGGGAATTCAGAAATAGAGAAATAATCACCATAATTTTTTTAATTCCATTACAAATTTAAAGGTATATATAGATAATTTTTTGTGTGACCGACTTTCTATCTAGAAGATTTTAATAGTAAGTTATCTTCTCTGTCTTAAAAAAATTAGACACCATTTTCTATAAATCATTCACATTACTTGGAGTTTGAGGTGATACTTACCCTTTTGATCATAATTATGAACAGTGTGATTTTTTTAATTTTTATATTATATTTTATTTTTGACATTAAAAATATGATTATTCCTTTTTTTTTTTGGTAATGTGAGATTTTGTTTTTATTTCCCGTAGTCTTAATTTAATTCTATTATATCCTTCAATTCTACTTTGATTTTACTTTCATCTTATCATTTTATTGACTTTAATTTGATCTCCCTAATGGTACTTTAAATTTTATTTTTGTCACTTACTTTTATTTTATCCCAATTTAATCCCTTAATTGTACCACACGCTTACTTTTGTTGATTTTTGTTATGATTTTATCATGAATTTTTTGTTTTTAGAAAATACCTCCTTTTAATACTATTACATCAGAATACTTAATTAACACGAAAATACTACCTGTAAAAGAAAACAAACAAAAGCTTACTCTTTCCGTTAAAAAATATAAGGCATTTTTAATCAAATACACTCCCCAATAAAGTAGTTACCTACTTTTCAACTAACCCTATCTTTCTATATTTATTCCTATTAAACATTCTGCAATAAATATAAAGTCATTATCAATAGGGATACTTTTGAAAAAAAGGCAATGATTACACTTCGAAAGATTAAAAATGTCTTATATTTTTAAACATCCAACTCCTTAAAAAATGCTTTATATTTTTAAATGAAGGGAGTATAAGTTAAAAAGAAAGATATTATATATTCTCTTGTCAACTGAGCTTACCATTTTCACCGGCCAGTGACGTTTTTAAAGCTAATGAACACAACAAATGTGCACGCGCGCGCGCGTAATCCACTTGGCATTATAATCAATATATGCTAGTAATCAGACCAATATATTTATATATGTTAGCCAGTGTCTCTTTTTCATTTAAGTTTCTTCATTACGAGCTAGATTTTAAGAACTAATTCGGATGGAGTCAGAATATTGTTTGGCTCTAGGAGCTAAAGGCTAAAAATCTACTTCCACTGACCGACGGTATAAGTCATCTTTTTTAAACTTTACTTAGTTTAAAATATAGGGTATTTGATAATTTTTATATTTGTTTTTTCAAATATATCTCCACTTCATTTATTACTCTTTTTGAACAAATCATGCAATGTAATTTTAATTGCTATTATCAAAGCTTTTATATGAATATTTAATAAGGATATAAGTGAAAAAATGTGGACATTTGTAAGAATTTAAAATTTCAACTAACATTATTTATAAATTATAAATTAATTAACTATGACTTGTATTGTAATACAGAGGAAATGTACTATTAGTCATATTAACTTTTTTTTTTAATGCCAAAGTCATGTTACCATAGGAATAGTGGCATCCGGACAGGAAAGTTAACTTGGATAACTGTAAATATTAAAATAAGTAATTTAATAATTAATTATTCTTCCACTTCTTTTTGCCCATACAGAATCATATCCATGCTCTGTTTGTGCTCTATAGTCTATATCTATTCAATTGCTTACTGCTTCTTCTGTCACGCGTCTCAATTAAATAATATATTAACTTTAGTTCACCTTTGTCTTGTTTATCACCATACTTGACGTTAAATTATTATTAGCCTTGGTTTTGGATTATATTTTATCACCGCATTTTGAAAGATATAATTCAATCCTCGCATCGATCAGATGAGTGAATTTAAAATTTCAACCTTAAGAGATGATGATACTTTCTTGCTTTTACCAACTTGTTTTTTTTTTAATTTATACATTTTTTCATTGCATTACGGAGTGCATTAAATTGAAATGAGCTGCACTATTAAGATATAGTGAGGTTAATTCTAAATTTTTATATTAATTGATATTGAGAATAATTACTTTTACCAATTTAGCTTCTTCTAGTTGTTTTTTTTTTTGTTTGCCTGAACTTTTACCAATTTAGTTAACTCCACTACATTATTCACTTTTTTATATTTAATTGAATTTTTTCTTTTTCTCATATATAGAACCCCTTATTTTCCAGTTGAGATTCTCTAAAACAAATATAAGATTATACTATTCATAAATCATCAACAATATTACTATATACCTAAATTAAATAGGAGTTATCCTGTTATCTTGAGTCCAAGTTTTAGGTTGGTAATAAAGCTTTGTTACAATACACCCTTGTGGTCTTTCTCAACTCGATCCAAATTAATCAAAATTTAATGTAGTTTTTTATATGACTTTGTACTTATTATCGATTTATGTCAAGGGGAAGACTTAGATACTTAATATACTTTATATATTTAATATATTTTTATTTAATAAAATCAAAACAAATAAATTTTAACATGTCCAATATATATAAATATTTAATTAAAAACAAGCATCTTAAATATATGTGTGTATATATATATATCCAATGCTAAGTTCCCGTATCTTAATTCATTCCCATTTTGATATATATATATATATATATATATTATTATATATATAATATACAAAGTACCGTTGATCCAAAGGCAGTTTATCTCAACAGACTAATCTATTTTTATATTAGATCTGCTAATTAACTGTTACGTGTCCAACATTAGTTGTATCAAACAATAAAACAGAACATACATTTTCTTCTTTCTATAAATACCCTGACGCTAAGTCCTTCGTTCTCATCCCTTTTGCATCAAACAGATAACATAACAAAGCCAAAAGCCACAATGAGGTCTCCATCATCAGATCTCAATCTCTTAGCCATTTTCTTCATCATCTTCCTCTCATCACCAACCTTTTCTTGCCTCTGCCTTGCCCAGAACACTCCTCAAGACTTCCTTGCTGTACACAACTCAGCTCGATCTCAGGTCGGTGTGAGTCCCCTCTACTGGAACCACACCCTTGCTTCCTACGCTCAGAACTACGCCAACAAGCGAAGCCATGACTGCAACTTGGAGCACTCCGGCGGGCCCTTTGGCGAGAACATCGCCGAGGGCTACGGTGACATGAAGGGCTCCGACGCCGTCAAGTTCTGGCTCACCGAGAAGCCTAACTACGACTATCACTCTAATTCTTGCGAGAATGATGAGTGCCTTCACTATACTCAGATCGTTTGGAGAGATTCTCATCATCTTGGATGTGCTAGAGCTAAGTGTACTAATGGATGGATGTTTGTGATTTGTAGTTATGATCCTCCAGGCAACGTTGAAGGCGAAAGACCATATTGATTGGAATATATATATATATATATATATATGCACACCCACACACATGCACTGAGAAGTTGAAACACTCTCATCTTTATTGCTGGAGGATTAAAATTAAACCATGCCATTATTAGGTGCGGTTCAACGATGAGGTGTAATGATATCTATGGTTGATAATTTATATGGAATATCTGAAATTTAAATTCAAGGTTTGTTCGTCATGTTATTTCCATCTAAGATAACTCCAGCATTGTAGCTCTATAATATAGGCCAAATCCTAGCATGATAGTAATTATTCCCTCCATCCTAAATTATAAGATATTTTTATAGAAGATTCAACATCTCGAAATTTAAAACACTTGGATAAAAATAAGGTTTTATTAATGATATTTTTTCAATATTATCTTTCATTCCTTATTATATTCCCTCCCTATTTTCATAAATAGAGTATTAAATATAGAATAGTTTTGAAAGCTAATATTTTTATTTTGAAAAAATAAGATTGTAAAATATATTTAATAAACTTTATTAGTGTGTGTAATTTTATCTAAAATTGGCTTATAAATTGAAATGGAGGGAGTATTAGTTTAATCAAATGGCTATGAGAGATTTTGCCAAACGATAGAACAGAATTATCTATGGAATTATGTTTGTGTTTCGATTTGGTAGTCTCAAAACAATAATTTTTAAAAATTTTCTATTATTTCTACATGAAATTATCTATTTAATAGAAAAATAAATAAGGTTTATTATTTGATAACCATATATTCATTTTGCTCTTTTTTACAAGGAAAAGAGAGAAGTGACGTTTTGGTCTTATTAATAAGTTATGTTATTAAATTTTTATTACAAATTTTTCCTTTTATCCCATGGTGAAAGAAATTACATTATCAAAGTATGTATATTTAATAAAGCGTCAAAATTAAAAACTCATTAAATTTTTAGATAGGTTTTCCTTAATTCCAATGAAATATGTTAGAAGTGACTTATAAATAGAATTAGACAAACTATAATTTTCATTTGCTTTTCTATTTGAGGTTTCTACGTACTCCACTTTAAAATATAAAATAAACTACTCGATGTCTTATTTTTTTATTATAAGCAAAATTATAAATTTCAAGAAGTATTAATTACATTTTCCCAAAATGGTCTCTCATAAATGGATAGTATCACTAAATTAGAGAAAAAAAGTAAATATTAACTACAAAGCATTTTAATCCAAACATTTTAATTTCAGACAAAATTATTAGGATAACTTTCTTAAATCATGTTAGTTAGTTGAAAGTTAGTTGAAATTCTTTTATATTTGAAAACAGAGGAAGTATTCTCTCAATCTCCAGTCCCTAATATAAAGCATTTTTAACTATTTTACTAGAATTAATAAATGACAGTTAACTCATTAAATAAAAAAATAACTTTACTCTTTTAAAAATAGAAACACAGATACACATTAGATGATGATGAATCTGTTAAATTTACAATAAGAATAAAAATTTAAAAATGGTAAAAAAAAAGAAGAAAATAGCCCTACATGCGCTTAATATCAAGGACCACAAAACCCTTTTTTCTAGAAGATGTCTCTTTTTTGGTGTATGCATTAATTTAAGTATGGCTCCAAAGCCTTAATCAGAGGTGTCTTTGTAATTCTATTTTGAGCGTTTAAGTTTCAATCATCACGTTTTTGCTCAAAAAAAAAAAAAAAAGTTCAATCATCACGTGACTGCCAATGACATTGTGGTCAATCTTTGCGGCCTAAAATCATCCGTTAATATCGTTACTTAAATTATTGATATTATTATTTTTCAATGTCACAGCTTCTTCCATACGACAGCCTTTATCTCTTTTCAACTCAGTAAATTGATGAAAGTTTCTTGAGGTTTGTTCTTTCGTTTGAATATTGTAACCGTTTCATGTCTACTTTCTGCAACTATCCTTCAATCAACATACATTGAGGCCAAATTTCCTGTTCTCCGATTTCCACAATCCGTGATTTCCACGTGGTTCTCCTTTACTTCAATTTTTTTTTTTTGGTTGGATTATTTTCTAATGTACCCGTAATTAGATTATTTAGTTAGGGAAAAAAAATCGTGAGCGGAGAAAACTGAAATGAATTTTTTTTCACTTTATGTTTAAATTAACATAAAAACATATTTTTCTCTCCTACTTGTAAATATTCAAACAATCACTTATAAATATTCAGATATCATTTGTTAATACATAAAAGAATTAATTTTTAAAACCCAACTTCTTCAATTAGTTTACAACTTTTCCTTCAATATTGACAAGTTATTAATATTATATTAAATAAAAAATATGTTATAAATTTATTTTTTAAAGTATTTTTATGGGATTTTGTAAATTATGGACACCTGTTTGGTTAATATATGAACAATTATTTATAAATATTCAAACATAAATTGTTAATATTACACAAGCCTATGAAAATGCTTGAAAAATAAATGTATAATATATATTTAGAGAACAAGTTGTAAAAACTAAAATAATTTTTTTTTTTTTGTGGGAAGCAATTGCCTATCATATCCACACCCCCCGCCCCATATTTACATTCCTTCCTTGTGAGAAGGAAACAAACATAGTCACTACAATTTTTCCACACTTGGAGATTGAGCACACAACCTTCTTATTAAAGGAGTGGTGCCAACACCACAGGGCTACAAGGGCCCCAGCAAATAAAATAAGTTGAGTTTTAAAAATTAATTTTTTTTTATGTTTTAACAAGTCATTTTTGAATATTTATAAGCCATTGTTTAGATAATAACAAGGCATCCATAATTAACAAAATTTCATGAAAATACTTAAAAAATAAATTTATAACATATATATCTCTTTTTATTTAGCATAATATTAATAATTTATTAATATTGAAGGAACAAGTTATAAAAAAATAAAATAAGTTGGATTTTAAAAACTAATAATTTTTTATGTATTAATAAGTTATGTTTAAATATTTATAAATAATTGTTTAAATATTAACAACTCTTGTTTATGATTAACAAAAACTCACCTAAATTCTTGAGAATATGAGTTACTATATATATATATACATATATATATATATAAAATATAACTGAAAGGTTTTGCTGGTTCAATGATATAACTAATGGATTAAGTGTTCAAATCTCCCATTGACACATGTGACCGATTTGACTACTGGAGACTGAGCTCTGATGACTAGTGGTGGCGGTTTGGCCATTGGTGGCGGCGGCCTTCCTATTCACGATGGACAGTGGCCAGAAATAGTGACCCTTTTTTCTTTTAAAAAAAGATACATGGGCATTTGTGTCATTTCAATGAGAAATTTAATTGCAATGAGGTACTTTAGGCCTATAGAGGAATTTCATAGTTCTTTGGGTCTGCGGAGCAATATTGTTACATCTGAGTGCATTGAATGCAATTCTCTTGTTTTCCTTATCTCATAATTTAGCATTATAATTAGTCATTCTATTTATAAGAAAACGAAAGAAGAATTTTTTTAATTTTATTTATAAATTGATTAAAGTATATATTTAATCTTTTAATTTTAAACAAGGTTTTATTTTAATCTTTAACTTTATAAAGTATTTTTTTTATTCATATAACCCCAATATTGTTAATTTCATCACAACAAAATTTTACATTAAACTTTTAAATATCGACAAAATATTTTTTAAATTTTACATATTAATTTTATTTTTTTTAAAATAACAATGATTAACAATAAAAAAAATTTGAAACTAACAGTGTTAGAGTGAAAGAAGTAAAAAAATACTTTATAAAATTAAAGAATTAAATTAAAACCTTATATAAAATTAGAGGACTAAAAGTATACTTTAGCTTTTATAAGTCATATCATTTATTTTTTTATCACAAGATTCTTTTTTATTTTCTATTAAATGGTGGTGAGATAAATTATTTCATCTAGACTATACTATAAGTTATTGTTAACTAATTTACGTTTCTAAAAAAATGTTGGTTAAAATCTTGAATTTCTAAAAAGTTTCACATCTTTCCAATGGTGAGCGAAGTAAATATAGCATTAACTTATTTAAAATACCTAAATTAATTACTTAAGTGTAATATAATAAAGTAATGGCATAGTTGAAAATATATATATAACCTACAAAGGCCTTATGTCTTGAACCAAATAAGATTTCTAGAAAACATTTTATATTATGATTGGAAACAAGTATGTTATTGAAATATTCATATGTAATAGGAGCAAATCTAGAAGCTTATTGAATTTTCAGACAAGGTTAATGAATTTTAAGATTTTTCTTAATTTTGAAACCCAAGAAAATAATTATACGTTAACGTTTTCACTAGACTGCTGGCTAATTAAATTTCTTTTGAGGATATTGATCAATAAATGCATTCACTTAAGAATTCAGACTTAATGTTCTACCAACTGATAAGTAAAAATATGATTTATGAGAGAGATTCAGATGTGGCACATCTTGAGGATGAATGGAATCCTTAGCAAATTTGTCAACGATCTTTTTTTTTTTTGGGCCGGCTTAATTATTTGTTAAGATTGAGAACCAAAACATTGCATTAATCCAGTTTAAGTTAATCTTCTTTGTGACGTTAGAAGAATGTAAGCAAAATTTTTAAGTGCATCCGTGAACTTGAAAAAAATAATAAATTAAATTGAAGTTAAGAAATTTGCACGCTTTATGCTTCTTCTGATAAATCGTCCTTTTTCTGAGCAAAATTAACGGAAGAAAATTAGAAATCATGCGTAAGTATCCCATGACATTAGGTTTCGCTACTTTTTTAATTAATTAATATCAAGAAATAAAATAATCTTAGGCTTGCAAAATATGTATGTTGGCATGTGAAGTATTGGGTCCCTTACATTATACACACGTACTTAATTAAATGTATGCTAGTACTTGAAAACGACATTTGAAACTTCGCTCATAGCTAGTGACCCATTCCGTGAATCAATCAATATAAGTAGGACTTGTTTTCTCTTTATTCAAATTAAATTTTAACGATATAAATTCGTTTATATTATTAAAAATCATCAAATCTATTATAAATATTATGTTATGGATGTCTATAACTCATAACTCTTAGGATTTTTTATCCTTAATGTTCTCATCAATGACATGAAAGGAGTTTCTAGTCTTAATAGCTTATAACATTTAAATGTTACATAATACACCATCATAGGCCTCATTATATCTTTGTAACATTAGGGTACGA